CATATTGTTGAGGAGGAGGCGCACCGTACTGACCGGGCGGCGCAGGTGAAGGTTGGCCGTAGGGTTGATGATGTTGCTGGTGAGGAGGAGGCGCGCCATAATGGCCCTGTGGAGGTCCTGGAGGTGCGCCGTAATGTTGTGGAGGAGGAGGTTGCTGCTGGTATCCACCATAAGGTTGCTGAGATTGGGGAGGACCTCCGGGGGGAGGATAGTGGCCGTGAGGTTGCTGATACCCGCCTTGCTGAGGGGGATACTGACCAGGAGGAGGTTGTTGATAACCACCATACGGCTGCTGTGGTGGGGGATATTGACCATAACCTTGTGGAGGCGGCGGTTCTATATGTTAATCCAGTCAGATTGCCTTGCCTTTCGTATCATAGCTATGGGCAGTTTACTTACGGCCGTAGGGAGCACCGTAACCTTGGTAAGACATGCTGTGTATGGCTATGGTGACGTGATGTGAAATTTGTATGGATATTGCGGGGTGATGGAGGGGAAATGATGGGTTTTGTACAAACGGAGTGTGTTAGGTACGGAAGTGCTAGCGGAATGGAAATGGACAGTGGCACCTCGGTCTCTTATTAAGACCCAAACGAAGGTACCTTACCTACTTATGGTACCTGAGTTGCCTTGGGCTGAAGAGAGACGCGCATATGCTGCTCAGCCTTGAGGCGCTATCTCAATAATGGCGATCCATGTGGGTTGCCCAGAGGCGGAGCAAGCCAACAGCCAAGATACTAAACTTAGGATCGGATGGAACGTCATCTTCACCAAACAGAACGTCTTGTTGACATGATTTTGCCCCTCATTTGAGGATTTTGGCAGGGGCATCTTGATTTAAGCATCTGGTCAATGCTGCCGAGACTCGGATAACATGCAGCAAGAGCTGGAAATGTTTTTTTTGGGCAGATGCAAGCAATGAATGTATGTCAAAGGATGCCCGACCCGCTTCCTCAGCATGGGAACCCAGTCTTTTGATGAGGATGCGGAGACGCTTCTTGTCACCTATTCCCGGCAAAATGGCCACTCATTCGAGGTCCCATTGGAGGCTGAGTGGGTGTGGTGTGTTGATGGATGCGGGAGGAATTGTAAGGGCTCGCTGCCAAGCTCGCGCGAGTCGTCATCGCATGACCTGACCTGTTCGGACTCTCATCAACTGCCATGATCATGTGTTCTGGCTCTCTGCTAATTAAAAACGACTCAGACAGACAGTCTTGATTCTTGGGCTTGCCGGATTCGGAGACATGCTCCAGCCACTTCAATGACACAAGCGCCACTCCACCGCCACAAACGCGCAACTCAGCTTCATCATAGTTCCAGAGCAGAGTCAACAAAGAGGGTCTGGAAAGCTAAAGAACGGAGTAGACCATGTGAGAGGGTCAAATAAAGGATTTTGAACTTGTCAATTTGCATTTTTCGGATAACCCCACCGATGCTTTGCAGCTGAACGATGCGTTCGAGATAACGTTGGCCCACAGCTCAACCAATCAAGTCTCTAGATTTTGCTCCTGCAGGTGGCTGGTGAATCTCCCGCTAAGACCAACGCCCATAGAACCCCCCGATTGTTCCTGACCAGAAGATGCTAGCGCGTTTTTGGTGTCACTCCAACCTCCATGAATTCACGTCTCAACGCCTGCTAGGGATAGCAGCTTTCACCAGCCATCTCAATTGCAATTAATAAAACTATTCCTGGGACGTGCCAGGTCTGTGCCATTTTCTCTTGTCTTGTCTTCCTAGTTCCACGTAAGATTCAACATTTGTCTCTCATTTTGAGACTGTGATTATTCTTCGCTCAGTTGTGAATCGCTCATGGCATTTACTCACCGTTGATGGTCTCTTGTTAGCTGCCAGTGCCAGCATCCGCAAGCACCTTTAAGCACCGCCGCGAGTCCATTTTCCTTCTATCTCTTCACAAAAACCAACACAGAACTCACTCCTTGCAAACAACAAACGCATTCAGCGAAATAGCCTCGTCAAGATGCGCGGGTTCATCCCCCTTCTTCTGGCTCTTTCTGCTTCTTATACCACAGTCCTTGCACTTCCCCAGCCTAGAATCGTGCACCGCGATGCTACAGCCAAACCCAAATACTCAGTCGTTCCTTTAGAACCTGGCGATGATGACCCAGCTTCAGGTGACCTTGGTGGAGGAAATGGAGATGGGAATGGGAATGGGGGCAGCAGTAATGGCAGCGGTGGCGGTAGTAGTGACAGCAACGGAGATGGCGTCGTGACAGTTATCCGAACAGTGACGCGAAAGCCAGTCACAAAAATTGTCACGCAAACCGAAAAGCCCAGTATCGTCACTGCTCCCGGAAAGACTGTCACCAAGGCAGTCCCTACTACCGTCTCGGTCATCAACATGGACGATGAGCCAGTTACGGAGACGGTCACTGTCCCTCGCCCCAGCTCAAAGCCGACAACCACACGGGAGCCCGGTACTACTACCGAGGAGCGAGAGCCGGTTGCCCAAAGTACAACTGATCTGAGCTCGGCTGCCGCGCCAGGCGTCACATCTCAACCCAGTCCTCAGCCTCAGCCCATACCCCAACCTGAGCCTGAGCCTGAGCCCGAATCACCTACCAACATTGAGTCGCCCCAGACTATTGAAACGTCGTCAACCACTTCCATCACTGATTATCCTCCACCCGTTGAGACAGTTGCTCAGCCTCCTCCTACTATCGAAAGCCCAGCCCCGGTTTGGGAGCCAACTACCCTCCTCACCCAGACAAGCGAGAGTGCTGGAGCTCCAGAACAAACTGAACGTCCTGCACCGGACGCTCCAGTGGCGCCTATTCCTTCACAGGGTACCTTTGTCGAAAGCCATGCGACTCAGGATCAATCCTGGTCTACTGCTGCCGCGCCTTATGACCCCCCTGTAGCGCCAACAACTTTGATCACATTGACTACCACTACCACTACCACTCCAATCCCCGAAACCAGCACCCCTGAGTCAAGCTCAGCCTCAAAGACACACGATAATGGCGCATGGCACACCTCCTACCCGGCCTGGAATGGAACAGCACTGGCGATCTGATTTCGAGATATCTGTGAAAAGTTAACGGCTTCACTCAGCTGCAAGTGCAGCATGCATTCAACGGAGGACATAGACAAAAAGGTAAGCAGCATGGCGAATAGGGAGGATAACTGGCATAGCATCATGGTTTCCTTGTAATATTGGGCACAGTTTATAATAGACCCAGCGAAAGGAGGCAAGCGGACCAAGCGCTGGGACGTTTTGCCGCATGTAATGAATAATACCAACCAACACCAAGTTTCTATAAACAAACGTGCAGACCAAAGCATGAAACCTGTGTTTTGTGTAACGAAATTAGCTGAACCCTGCTAGAGTGTACACTATAGCTGTTGAATATGATCATATGGCGTACTAGTGTATTGGCTGTGGCTAGAAGAATGATGTATCATCTCAGAGCTTCTAGAAGTCATGGCGTACACGAGCCTGGCAGTTTTGACCGCACATTAGTTACAGACATAAACAAAGGGTCGAAACATCCAGGAGAGGCAGAAATCTCCATTATCCAGGAACAATACTAACAAGAAAACGACTCATCATTCATACGATTTTTCGAAATAGTACAAATATTTGGCAAACCCACAACAGAGAAATGCCCAGCTCAATCATTTCGTTCGTTCTTACACACTGCGAGCCTGGTGCAAGCAGTTGATCAATTTTACTCAAGTTGCGGTTCTTTGATCCACGATCTTTTGCCGTCATCCAACATATACAAAACTGTTCGTCACTCTGTGCCGCCTTGGAAATGGAGCACTAACTAAGAAGCCTAGGAACACCACAAATATCAGACTTTAAAATTCATAACTTTCACACTTTACAACAATCATGGATTCTTCCATGAGTCCCTTCAGCACCAATGGCAACGATAGTTCCGCCAAGTACATTGCCAACAAGGCCGGCAGCCACAATGAGGCAGTCATCATCGCAGGAGTCATGATCGGCTCAGTTTTCTTCGTCGCCATCGTTGGAGTGGCTTGGATGTTCTTCAGGGAGCGGTCTCGAAAGATTAAGGACCAGCTGGCCGCGACCAAGACTGTCAGCGCCTCTGAGTATGTCTGATTCGGCAACGGGGGAACTCAGGGCATTGTCGATCATGAGGCGACTGTCGGAACGGGATGTTGGCGGAAGCAATTGAAGACAAGTTGAGAGACATAGGGGTCTGACTGGCTGAAAAACAAGACACAGCATTCATTTCCTGAGTAAGGGAGTCGGGGCTATTTGAATCTACACTCATTCATTTATATCTCAATTTACAAGGATAGTTGTAGCCCTTCAGTTCACAGGGTGCCTGATTATTCCTCTGATGCTGTGAAGGAAACTATTTGTGGTCGCACATAAGTTTGCATAATTTCCTTGTCGAAGAATAAGTCCAGGACTTTCGGAATTGGTCAGTTACTACTCCGTAACTGCCAGGTACAAAGTTATTCAATGTCGTTCCAGGTTGCTCGCCTTATCCTTGATTGGCTCATGAGCTGCCACAATCCCCAGTCACAACTGCAGCATCAAATCACACTTCAAGCCCAACTTACCTCAACCCTATGCAAGACTCATCACAGCTGAGAACCTATCTCCACATGAGATCGCACAGTGTGACAGGCCTCGAGCCTCTTTGTCAAAAAGCCATCTCCCCATTGTCGCTTGTCTTCCTTCTCGAGTTCTCCAATGAGACTGATCCACGTCCAGTACATGACCCACGCTGGGCAGCAACAGTTCATACAGGCCAAGGCGAGGCGATTTGAGGCGGTATGTGAATAGGAAATGAGATCAAATATCGGGGTTTGAGGGAACAAGTATTTAAACCTCTGGTCTTCTCTGCGGGTTTGGAACGCTGTTTGAAGTTGAAACAAAGATCTACAATTTCTACAAGTCATTTGTTTCTTTGCCTTGGTCCACCAACCCCACATAACGCCGGCTCCGCCTCCGAAGCCGCCAATCTCATCCGGAATCCGGAGCGCCCAATTACGTCAAAATGCGTCCCACCTCAAGCTATCAGCTACGAGCAACGTTAGCGGTACTTCTTCTGTTCCTCTCATGCCTCGCTCTGGCCTCATCAGAGTCAAAAGATGCCAGCAACACGTTGTCTCAACGCGACGAGGAAGCAGGTTCAGGATGCAGTACAGAGGGCCAGTGGCACTGTATGACCAATTCATTTCAGAGATGCGCAGGTGGACACTGGTCGATCAAGATGGCTATGGCTGAAGGGACAAAATGTGAGCCAGCGGGTTACACTGATGACTACAATTTTCGAATTGAACATGATGGCCAAGGGAATGGCGATGGGCGTGCTGAAGGACAGAGTAGTAGGGGATCCAACTTGGGATCAAGAGCTTCGGCAAGCGGGATTACTATTGTGGTCATTTCTTGTCTCTGTATTACTGTGGGAAGTCTTTGCTAGGTTCAGGACTTTATCACGACCACTATCGTTTCGGGATAAGGTTGTTGCAATCTGGGCATCTGACTGAGGAGGATGAACTAAACAAAGGAAATATTGAACGAAACCCAATTTTCACACCCTGACAACTAACGTTAGCTCTTGCGACATACTGTGATATAATGATCCAGATTGTTAAAATGTAAAATGGCATGCCAAGGGTCTGTTGAAGTGGACAATTCCCCACCAATACCATTCTATCAAAATACCATAAAGGGAAATCACATCAGCTTCGGAGATATTTCGTTGCAACTCCCCCCGAATTAGGTAAACATAAGGCGGCAGTTTCGGCATTCTTTGCAAATCATCACCGAGAGGAGCTCACTTGAACAGAAAACCGTCCGCTAGGAGCTGCCATCCCTGCCCCAATCTTGGTCTTAGAAGCACGGGCATCGCAACATTGCTCGGAAAACTAGCGTTTGTTTCAGCATTTCCCACATCACTATGTTTATAGTTTCTCCTCCAATTAGCTTCCCTGTATCATTATATCTCTGGGGTTGTAAGGAGCACTCCGCCAAGCATGTAATGGGTGGATATATACTCATATTGCGCCTTTGTAAACTTAATACGATTTCCCTTTTGCTTCTTTGGATCGTTTTCAAGCCTCTCGTTACATTTGAAAACATTCTTTTCCCTAAATCTTCTCTTCTCTTTATACTGTCCTTACTTGGCGATCTGGTAATCGTAAATATGGTCAGCTTCAAGTATCTCAGTGCTCTTGCGAGTGCTGCCCCGGCTCTGGCAGCCTTTGGCGTCACCACCAGTGGTAACAATCTTGTTGTTGACTCTGGCAACTCCAACGGTTTCTCCGTCACCGTCAGCAAGAGTGACTGCTCCATTAACTCGATCAAGTTCCGCGGAGCTGAGTACCAGTACAAATCTCAGACTTCTCACATTGCGTCCGGTCTGGGATCGTCCAATGTCCAGTCTACTGTTCTTGACAGTGAGTATAGAGCGTGTGTCAAACGCTGCAACATGCTGACTTGGGCGTAGACAAATATATCAAGATCACATGTACCACTAAGTCAGGAGACTTTGATCTAACTCACTACTATGTCGTCCAGAATGGCCAGAGCATGGTCTACATGGCCACTGATACAAAGTCACAACCTGCTATTGGCGAGCTTCGCTACATTACTCGCCTCGATCGCTCCCAACTGCCCAACGAGATACCTTTTGGCGAAGCCTCCAATACCTCGGGTGGTTCTGCGGTCGAGGGCTCTGACGTCTTCAATGTCAACGGCCAGACTCGTTCCAAGTTCTACTCGTCCCAGCGCTTCATCGACAACGACGTCTGGTGCTTCCAGAGTAGCGCCAAGGATGTGCACGCATGCATGGTCACCCACGCCTCGCGCTCCTACGAGAAAAGCTCAGGCGGTCCCTTCTTCCGTGATATCAACAGCAACAACAACGGTGACTTCAGCGCCCTTACCTTCTATATGAACTCCGGCCATGCCAAGACTGAGGAGTTCCGCCAGGGCTTCCATGGCCCTTACGCCTTGTCCTTCTCACGATCTGGTGTTCCAAAGGCTCAAGATATTGACATGTCCTTCTTCAAGGATCTTTCTATCCCTAACTACACCGCCGACTCCTCCCGCGGCCGAGTAAGTGGCACCGCTACTGGTGTTCAGTCTGGCTTCCAGGGTGTTGTGCATTGGTTCAACAAAGACTTTCAGTACTGGGCCTACACCTCTTCCAACGGCGCTTTCACCTCTCCATTCATGGTACCGGGAACTTACACTCAAGTTCTCTATCAGGGTGAGCTCAAGGTTGCCTCTAAGAGCGTGAGCGTCTCTGCCGGCAGTACTGCTTCTTCTTCTATCGCCGCCGACTCCGACATTACCACAGGAAAGCACACCTCTGTCTTTCGTATTGGCGATTGGGATGGCCAGCCTAAGGGTTTCCTTAACGCTGCCAACCAGCTGCGCATGCATCCTAGTGACAAGCGCATGGCCAGTTGGGGCCCTCTCACCTACACTGTAGGCTCTAGTTCTGCTGGTGACTTTCCCATGGCTATCTTCAAGGCCGTCAACAACCCAGTCACTATCAAGTTTAATCTGCCCTCTGCCATCTCCACCCAGGCCACTCTTCGTATCGGTACCACTCTTGCATTTGCAAGTGGCCGCCCTCAGATCACCATCGGTAGCTTCAAGAAGGCTTTCGATGCTCCCGTCAAGATCGACTCTCGGGGTGTTACGCGGGGAGCTTACCGTGGATTCGGTGAAGTTTACGATGCTCTTATTCCTGCTGGCACACTCAAGGCTGGCACCAATACCATTACTATCGAGGTCATCTCTGGTAGCTCTGGTGCCGACTTCCTGAGCCCCAACTTCATCTTTGATGCCGTCGAATTGTTTCACTAAACAAACCAAGTTCAGCAGTACGTGGTGCTCAAGGCACCTAGTCAATCATAGTTTCCAATGTACATATTAGTAAAGAGAAGACAATTTTCATAACAATCAATCACTTGATGTTAGATACTATCTTGAAGGCTCACTGAACATGCGGCCTGTAAAGTTTCAGAAGACGGTCATATACATGTACGGTGAAGATATTAAGTAATCTGTATGATCCATTACCAGGTCATTAGAATATGCCCTCTTGAACCCGATTACGACGGCTGTCGTTTACGGTCACCGTAGCCCTTAAGGGCATGCAATATCTTAACAATGACATAACCAGACGGACTTATTTGAGGTTTCTCCAGTAACGAACTGCCACAAGCTGGCTTATATCAGCCAGGAGTGTTAAGATTAGTCTCGATCTTTGGTGACGAAAGCACCCAAAATGTCAGTAATCACTAATAAAGATGGGGCCACACATAATTTAGGATTACGAGAGCTATCTCCGAGGGTCAGTTGTATAAGTGCAACAAGTCCGCGCAACAAACACAGATAAATCAAATTCTGTACTTGTTTTACATTCGAATTTAGAAATTTTTGAAGATGCCGTCTTCTCAAGGTACTATTCTGATCACTGGGGCCAATGGAGGGCTTGGGTCAGCCATTGTGACCAATATTCTGGGCAAAATACAACTGGCCAGCAACTACACCGGTGTCTATACTGTCAGACGTGCGGCAACGGCAACTCGACTTCAACAGGTTTTGAAATCAGCTCCAGGGTGTCATAGGCACGATGTCGTTGACTTGGACCTCAGCTCATTGGCGAGTGTCAGAACAATGGCAGCCGGGATCAACCGTAGGGTTGCTGCTGGAGACTTGCCTCCCATCAGAGCACTCATCCTCAACGCTGGATATCAAGACCATGAAGAGATTGTGAGTTCAAACCACACAGTCAAAGACATACTATACTCATCAAAAACAGAAAATATCAGATGATGGATACGAGATGACTTGGCAAGTTAATTTCCTGGCCAATCAACTACTGACTCTTCTCCTACTTCAGAGCATGGATAAAGAAAATGGTAGGATCCTTCTGATAGGAAGCTGGTCCCACGAGTAAGCCGTGGCATACAAGTAAAATAGCATTTGTTGATAATGTCCGTAGTATCAACGATGAGCGAAACAACACAAATATCAAGTGTTACACGGGGCACGACAGTCTATTCCCTGGCCCAGAAGAGCTCGCCAAGGGAACATGGAGCAGACCAGATTCTGGCGGAGGATGGCTTACGGGATATCGACGATATGGGGCAAGCAAGCTATGTGCGGTGATGCTCATGTAAGTCCACCAAGCTTTTTGACAGAGTTAGCATCTGACGAATGTAGGCACGAACTCGCTGGTCGTCTCGTTCAGGATCCACAGCTATCCAATATCGCTGTGGTTGGTCTTGATCCCGGTGCCATGGGCTCAGATCTACATCGACGGGGCAGTTTTGTCATGTCTCACTTCCTCAAGATATTAGCCCCAGTCATATCTCTTCAGGCCAGGTTCAAGCCCAACGGGGATTTCCGCCCACTGTGGAAGAGTGCTGAAGATGCAATTCGGCTCGCCTTTGAAATTGAGACCCCACCGGGCGTGCTGCTGTATCTGAATGGTACAGATGAACTTGAGACTGGGAGGGAAGCAAAAGATGACGCCAAGAGGAAAGCCTTGTGGAGCTATGGTCTGAAGGCGGCAGGGATTCAACGGGATGACACAGCTCTGAATGGATGGCAGTGACTTGGGATGATTATGAAGTTCGCTTTGTCGCGTTTGAGGATTGAAGTCGGGTTTGTAGTGGCTGATGATGAGTAATGGTTTGTCAATCCTAAGGCCTTGCTTGGCCTATGTATGTGTGATCGAACAGAGACAGATCCTCAACAGTCCGTAGTGCACGGCATATTATCTCTTGCTCTCCTTAATGAGATCATGGATTGCTAGTTAGATCTTGGGGACGGTGTCGCTTAAGTTGGCGATCGGGCAACTGATATGCGATAAGAAGGCGATTGATTCGTTTGAGTAAAGCTGCTCGTTATCTGGCGGTTTTCAATAGTCCAGGGACGATCAGAAAATGTGACAGCCATGCCATACCCTAAGAAGTGAACGGCAACGGCGGTAACAAACGGGTCTTCCGGCAAAAGACAACAGGGGATGTTATGAAATAGGTAGCTGGGATCAGGGTCCTTGGTAAGGCTCAGCAAGAAAAGTAGATGATATCCCCGACGGTGAAATACAGAGAGAGCTTAGCTTCAACAGCTGTCGCAAGGTTTGGTGTTTTAGGGTGATGATCCGCCAACGTCTAGCTCTGTGTGGACTGAGCGGGAAAGGGCTAGGAAAGGTTCGCACTCAAGTAAATGAGTTGTTGTTTCTTTTTCCTGTTGGTGGTCCCACTTGGTCGTCAGCTTTGAGTGCACGGAAGATGATGCCCCAAGTTTCAAATCATAGCCCCTGAGCAATCTGAAACAAGCCCGCTTAGGTCCCTTGCGGAATTGACAGGCACAGGTCCAAAAATGGAAAGATCTCTTTCATGGTCTGGACGATCGAACAAAGATACTTTTTCTAGAGTGTCAATCTTTGCCTTCTGGTGTTATTGGGCTTGTGATGACGGGGATGATCACTCCTGGTTCTAGCAGGTGAAGAGTCACTTTTCACCCGAACTCTCTCCTTTTTACTGCAGATTCGGGTCAAAATAAGCTTCTTGACAACAGTTCTCGTCAGACATTGCTGGAGGACATGCCAGCGCTTTTCTCTGGTACGCCTTGATGGAACCTAGCGCCAGAGCGACTAATGGCGGCTCGTTCAAGCCAGTCAAACTGCATCTCCAGTCTTTAGATGCCACAACACGGCGGCGGCGCTTGGGAACACTAGGCTCTGGCGCCTGTATATCCAACACAATTGCTGTCCGTCCACACATCATGATATCAAAACAAGACCCACGGGCTAAACAGTCCAGCAAAGCACTGCCGTTACTCTCGGTCGGTTGGCTATCAAGAGCCACAATTTTACGGTAGATACCCATCGTCCTATGCCGTCGTATTGTCGTATCCCTGCCTCATTTAAACAAGAGGCGCCAACAGCCTCCAGAGCCGGGGATCAAGGTAATCGGTTGGCGCTGGTTGCGAGCACCAGGCCTTAAATTAATACACCACAGCTCCAGTGGGTTCCAGGGGACTGACTAGCCGACAGCCAACGACCGTTGCACCTAATTTTGAAAGGGTTTTGATTAAAGAACCCCCAGGTTCCATGTCGTCAACAAGGAATCATTTCCCTGTTGTGCTCGAGTCTTCTCTCTCTCTTTCTCTTGTTTGCGTGTTTATCTGTCTCTTGCTCTTTTTCTCTTTTCCTTTCTTCCCTCACTCTTCTTCACTCTAACCCACATTCATTACACTTGAATCCAGGCTTGGAGCTGGACTCGTGCCTACAGTATACGACGGCGATTCAATTGCTTTTTTCCCTTACGCTTGTCTACCCCGAAACCTTCCCGACTTGGGCCATCCATTGTTACAGCTTTGAGCAACCTCATTCCAGTCCTAGCTTCTAGAAGGCCTCCGCCGCACTCAGGTCACGCCGCCGTTTGAGCTATTGCTGCCGTCAGCACTGCACAGTCACTTACATCGCCATATCGAGGTGAAGCTGAAGGATTCGCTCCCAAAAATAACAACCTGAATACAGTAGCGGCAGCACGAGGCACTCTCAGCCCAGCGATCCCTACAATCTTCCAACAGCCACTGTCACTGACGGGCAGCTGACAATAAAGATGCCCGCCATGTGGGACAGCTTCAAAACTGGCACTGGCCCCAGCATTCATCAACAACCACCTCGAGAGCTCAAGAACCGACCCTTTCTCCGCCAGACCCAGAGTTCGAGTTCATCACAAGCACTGCCACAGAATAGGTCCACCACGAGCGTCAACAGCAGCAACGGTAGAAATTTGAACAAGTCACGCGACAGCTACTACGACAACCAAACATATCTCCAAGACGACTTCGAAAACCGTCTTAACGGTCTCGGGATTCGAAACGGCCCTTTCAGATACGAAATTCGACGTGGTAAGACAGTTCGACAACCATACAGCGCTGGCCCACCTCGTCTGTAAGTGCTACTTTCCTTCGTCCTATGCTTTTATTCCATACACTACATCAAAACCGATTCGGAACTGCTGCGCCGAAAGGATGCAACCCAACACAGCCCATCATAACAAAGGGCCCATCAAAAGCTTTGTTAGAATGCATGATGAATATAAGTCAACCTAGCGCAGCAGGGTTCGCTACATGCGCACGCCTCATTTCAACACGTGCAGGGTACAACAAAGCGATGAAGGCTCATCAGCCTCTTCTAGCCAGTTGGGCATCGGCAATTGTTGGAGTCGTTCGTCGTCATATAGTACGCACGCTCAAGATCGACAAGCCTGCGTATCCGTACCTGTGCAAAACTTGAGACTTTTATTCCAAAGTGACAAAAATGATTACCCTGGCAATCGACTGTCATCTTTACTAAATCTACCTAATCTTTTGGTCACCCAGGATTGACGTCTCAAATTTTCTTGCCCCCTCCCTGAGGGGACCTCTACTGCTTCTCATACGCCTGATACGACTTGGCAATAGCGACAGTATATCTGTTCCTGACTAACACCTTATCTTCTCTCAGCTCCCCTGCTCTCGGCTCAGACGACATCCGAGCGAACGCTCCTCCCCGAAACCCTCGAAAAGGCGAGGACGACTCTCCTTGGAGACCTGCCTCGTCCGTTTATCCCGACGACGAATTCGACTCGAGCAAGCGCCACTCTCGTCACTTACACCATCGATTATCTCGCTCCAAGGCGCCTGCCAAAGACATGTACGGGCGTTCTGTCGAAATCTCCCCTCCAAGCTCCCCCGAGTTTGATGCTGCACGTTACGAGTGAGTAATCTTGGTTCTGAATTCTTCTTCTTGCAGGTTTCTTGCCTGGCTTATCAGTTCTTTTTGGAATTTGTTGGCACTCTGCGTGCTATCCTCAAAATGCGATCCTTCAGAATCAATGTACAATCACTAATACGGTGCTTTACTTGCAGACCAAACTCTCAAGATGTTTCACCAATCGATGAGAGCCCAAATTTATCTCAGCTGGATCTTCTAGGGGAACGCCGCCTCACTCCCCGACAATCACAAACACACCTTCGTAGCCAAATACCAACTATGCGTCGCGATAAGCCAACAAGCCCTGGTCAACCTTCACCACTTCGCACGACTAGGTCAACCGATCAACTTGCAGATATCACCACTCCGTGGGAAACCATGGAACCACCGGCTAGCTCATCCGACATGCCCCAGCAAACCTTTGGACTCACAACAGTCGTCACTGGACCGCAGCGTACCACTTCTGGCAATCCTTCTCCTTCACTAGGACAGCGGATTCGCAAGTTTGCTAGAGCAAAGCCAGAGCCTGTCAACACCAGGCCACCATGGAATGGGGCAAGTGGCCGTGCGCCTATGGTCGATCCAGTTCGGGACGATCTAACTGTTGCACCATTGAGCTTGCAGCGTAGGGTCAGCAAGCGTGTTGGGCTTGGTCGCGACCCGTCTCCTGAAACACCTAGCGGCAATGCTGGAACATCTCGACGACTCCTACCTTCACGGTCCACCCAGAACCTTAAGGAGGCTTATAAAACACCATCTCCCGAACTCATTTCTCACTCGTATCCCAGTCCACCCAATACTGGCTCTCCTCCCTCTCAGCCCACGATTACGCATGCTGCCGCTGCACCCATGCTCAATCCTAATATGGTCCCTGACCAACTCAAGGCAGTCAAAAGGAAACCATCGCCATCGAGTCACAACCCACATACGTCGTGGTCAAGTTCCGTTTATTCCGCAATGACAGAAGACACACTCCTCGGTAACAAACCGGCCATTAGTTCCATGGGGCCAGGAAGTCAGTCGACAACAGGAGACCTTTGGGTACAGCCTACTTCTCGCTTCAGTGTCACGACATGTAACACTGCTGCTGTTGCTGTTGCTGCTGCTGAAACACCTCGTTTATCCGACAGTGAAAGTCAAGCTTCTCCGCCGGACACACCGAAGCAGCAACCGTCAGTAATGGATCGTAGGAGACCAGTTCCCGGCGGAGATAACTTCAGGAGAGCTTCAAACGTACCAATCATCATATCGATGAAATCAGCTTCGCCATCTAATGATCGCCCAGCGTCTATCATTTCCACAGATAAGGCACTTCCCCCTGCGCCGCCAGAGATGCAGTCGGCAAACGATCGTGTGGCATATCTCACGGCTAGGCTTGACAGTCTGGCGCACCGTCGCAATAACATCAACAAGAGTATTAAGCAGATGACAGAGTTGATGCCCACAGACAGGCTTCTGTCTAATACAGACGTTATTCGCAAGCGTGAGATTGAAAAGAAGAAGGTGGAAGGGCTCAAGGAGGAGCTGGCAGAGATTCAGAGGGAGGAACACGACTTGGGCTTGAAGCTCTACCGAGCCAATAAACGTCTGGAAAGAGAGGCGGCTTTTGAACCCTCATCTCTCTGGGTTAGGCGCGTCACATCATAAAGAGTTGATACTAGCGATAACGGGTTTGCCTGTGGGTTCGAGAGATTGTATCTCTCTATAAGCAAGGCGTTGAGAAGATATGCATAGCGGATGGAGTTGGGCTTCTTTGTTTTCGATTCTTTTTATTTCTTGGAGCCACATGTTCATGGTTCTGGTTGTCAATTATACAGGTACAGATTCTTTGATGGTTCAAAAGACCAACTACAACGGACAAATAGACCTGACAATGTATACAATTCACATCATGTTCCCCTTTAAACCGTGTTCTGGTAGGACATGCAGATACTCTTTTCTTCTGTAATACTAATAGCTAATAGCACAGATCAAATGACTATTATTGAGTAATTAACCACATGCAGAGATTCCAAACTTCTGCTGCGGCGCCATTTCAATGGTCGTTGAAGCTACCCATACTTAACTCCTGACTTATCCTGGTACTCTCTCTGCTTCTTACCATAATGACCTCCTCACCACCGACCCAGGAGGACGCGGTCCATCACAACGGCCCTCCCAGCACCTCTGACAGTAATCACCAGGCCCACCATCCTTAAGCGGGGTGATGCAAGCGCACTCCTCGATTAGATAATGACGACAAAAGAGATAGACACCTGTACGAGGCGGCTGTGGGGGAACTTCGTCCTCTTTTGATTCCGTACTCAAAAGCCCACGTACGCCGTCGACCAGCTGTTCCGAGAACGATCGTTTATTAGGTGTTTCTGAGGCAGAGTTTGGCCGCGAACCTCCCTGGTTTCCTTGGTCGATCTCTGGTGAAGAGTGATTCGACTCAGGAAGCCGCGGGAACGAAACAAGGTTGTTAGAATAAGAGCCGACAGCGGGAGGACCAACATAGTTCCCTGCTTCATCGTAGTGATCTGATGGGTAGGTTTGTCGAAGACTGCGGCCGCCATGAGAAGCAGAATATGCCCTACGATTCTGATAGCTTGTGGCATATCGACCAGGTTGGCTGAAGTTTCCAGAATAAGAGCCTCTGGGCAATTCATGTTCAGAGCAAGGGATGTTCCTGGGCTGGTCGCTTCCAGAGCGGTAGCCCCTTCTGGAATACACGATAGCCCGAGGGTGAGTACTGCTTTGGCTTTGAGGAATTGGCCTAGGACGCGAGGCGTTTGTTCGAGGATTTGCCGTGGTATAATATGTTCCGTGCGGACTTGGTCCTTCTATGTAGTAGGACTCCTCGTCTGTGAAATCTCCTTCCTCTGCTGCAGAAAAGCCCCCTGAGCAATGCGTATAAGTGATTCCACTTGTGGAGGATGCATATCTGCGAGGCTCAACATGGCCATAGTCGACCTTACGGTATCCAGATTGTACGGTTTGGGCATGCGACGCGCTGTGAGTGCGTCGATGAGACATATTCGCTCCTCGGACCTATCTCTCTCTGTTAGTTCTCTCGATCGGGGCTTGGGAAAACCTACCTTGGTCTTTTTATGATCGTTATGTTTTGTTTCTTGCCTCTTGTGCAATGTGCTCGGTAGTTGCAGAGCAGATACCAAAACAATTGATCACGAGATGCTATCCTGTCGTACAGGTTACGTTACCATCGGGAGTGTTCCAGCAGAGCTTCTGGATAGTGTTTGTGTGTGTGGCTTAGAGTCTGACCTGAGCGGGATGGTTTATTTATATATCAATATTCAGCCGATGCTAGCGAGGCCTTTGGCTGTTCGATTCGTCGGTTGACAGCATTGTTTCGCCGAACATGGAGTGTGCTGAATGAAGGTGCTTGTTCTCTTGTACGCCACGAGGAGTCATCAAGCTTTGGCGAGCAGGAGCACGAACAGGCGCCTAGATCCGTTGTAAGAGGGAGAAATAAAAATCATATCGTGGTAATAAAGAGTGACAAGGCCGGACTAAATGCGTACGTGATTCATGTCGCTCAGTGGCTGTCAGTCAATGGAAGCAATCTCAAGGTTGTGCAACGGGTCACTCTTTATTTCGTCTAGGACTCCGTCCTACAGGACACAGTGATATCTAGTAGCTGTGATTCAGCTCTAATCGTAAATGTCTGATCCTTTCAGTTCTTTTCGTCCGAGTCCCAGCCCTGATAGTGCCTCAGTTTGATGTGATAGTGATAGTTGTGCACTCTTCTCGCGTTAATCGTGGTATTCTCAGTATTCAGCAAGGCAATTTCTTTGATACTGAAGACCGCAACACGGGTCATGTGAGGAACGTCAGGGTCTGGATGCTGCGACTCAACGAAGCGCATGTTGAGCGAGATTATGTGTGGGTGCCCTTCCTGGGCGATATCAACGCGGACGGAATCATGCCAGTCCAGCGGCGGGATAGGTCGTTCAGGGACCACATTCTCCACGCCCGAGATCATCATCATCATGCCATTATCATCCTCGTAGTCGACTTCGAAGGTAAGTTTAATGCATGTTGCGCTGCCGAAGGGAACTCGAAGGTAAGATTTGAGATCAGGGTAAAGCTCCATGCCTCTGCGATGGTAGATACCTTCGGGGTGCCACTCTCCGATGGGTCCTCCAGAACCCATTCGAACTTCAACACCGGTATAGGAGCGCTGGTGTCTCAGAGGTATACCCGTGCCAATAACGGCGTGGTGATGGTTCCAGGCGTATGCATCTGTGCTGTTGTGAGGGAAGAAAAGGTTCTGGATTCCAGAAGACCACAGGGGTCTTCTGATCGGGGGAAGTTCGTTCCAATCAGCGGCATCGACATCGTTGTAGACGAATATACGGTGGACTGTCTTTGAGATATCCTTGATAAGGGTTTCGGCGAGGACGCAGCGTGACATTGAGTAGAAGGGTCTCTGCTCACTGTCTATTCCGAGAAGATGAGGCTCGCCTTGAGGACCTCGCCCGCTGATGGACTCGAACATTACGGTGCGTACCTTTCCGGCCACCTCTAAAGATTTTTCCGCCATTTATCGACTCCTTGGCTTCGTGAGAGGTTAGTCATGTTGGCTATCATGTACTTCGGGGACTTACCACCCTTCGCGGACCGCAGACTTGTAGGATCTTCCTCCTTTCTCTGTTGGCGAAGATTATGCATATGGAGGATGCAAAATCTACCTACCTTAAGTGAGGTGGTCAAATGATCGACTCCTCATGGTTTGATAGTTATAGTCTAAAGACAATGGCAGATGTGCGAAGCAGTGCCAACAGTTCCTCCCCCCACCAACAAGTTCAGTCTATACAATAGGTAGGCCCTCAGACTTTGGGGCCCAATACAAAAAATTACAAACATCTACAAGGACTTTTTTGCTGCCTGCTTCCTCAAAAGGTCACGTTTGGTTTGACACTAAGTACGCAGGATTGTTGTTTTCTTCACTCACCACCAAGTAAACCGATGTTTATGTGAAGTCATGAAAGTTTGGCGGGACAGAGACAAAGTCGAGATGATACTCACCAGTGGGGATAAGCCAAGCTCGTCTCGATGATCGTTGTCAGTTCTCACAAAGATAGCAAGGCCTCGGTGCCCCCGGGGGTACAGCGCCGGGAAATGTGGGCTTGCTCGGTCTCCTTGTCCGCATCGATCGGAGCTACAGGGTATCATCCACGTCTAAAAACAGCAACTCGAGCGAAGTGTCTCATTACCTCGTGCTTTGATTGCTTTAAAACATGTTTTGGGTGACAGCAGAAACGGCTATTGTTATGTGAAAGTGTAAAATATTATCTATGAAATGGATGCAATGATGTAAAATGAACCAAGAGAATCAAGGCTTTTGCAGACTTTCATGTTTTTGACCATGCATCTTACCTCATTTTATATAGTGTTCCACAAATTAGATCGATCTTGTAAAATCTTTGCATGTGGCATGGGAGAGAAACAGGCTGTCTTTTGTGCCAAGCACCGTGAAAAGTATCAAGATAATGCCCTACTGATATGAAAGCAACTATAAGCATAATATGTTTTTCAAATCTCGATTTGAACCAATTTTTACCTATTCAATGCCCCCGTGTGACTTAGTCGTTGCTTTTTCTGTTGTTCTTGGATTCACCTGCAACAAATAACATGATGCAACAAAGTGAAGCAGAAGGAAAGCAGATCGCAAGTCGCCATTCACCGCGATTCACCGATGTTTGGTCTTTTCGTCTAGGACAAATGAATCATTCTGTTTCCACTTGTTACAAAGAGTCACTCGCAGGGAAGAGAAGCAAAGTGTAGATTAGCACCGAAGGAGCCTACAGAATAACACAATATCTTCCAGGTGCAGAAATCAGATGAAGCCAATGCCAGAGACTTTGAAAAGAAACTCTAGTTCTCATCTCCTATCATAAAGCTACGATTGAACACCCCGTAGTAATTGGCCGTCCTTCAGTAGCAAATTGCTGATATAGCTTGAAGTGATATAGCTGACTACTTCACAAATGGATGGCCTCAAACAAGCCGTCCTTACTGTGACGGCTGAGATAGTTTGTTGAGTACTAGGGTACCCAGTATTGATTCTCTGGATATCAAGAGCCATAATTGGAGGTCTTTCCTGTTATTAATATATTGTATACCATTAACCCCGTGCACAAAAGCAACAAGCATGCAGAGTCTTGTTTCCAGTGCCCCCGGTCGAAACCGAAGCCAAGTCAAGAGACCCAGAAGGGGCCAAACTTTTCATTATAAATCATCCCTCTCCGGACCACTTTCTCCACGGTGCTGGCGTCTCAGTGTTACTATAGCACTGAGCACATGCCTCACGTCTTCAATTGTCCATGATGATCTCGGAGGATATCCCAAGCGAGAGCAACGCAGTGCTGATTTACGCCCCAAGCGTTGCTTTCTTCGTTGTGACGCCTATCTTTATCCTTTCCCGCCTTTGGAGCCGTGTAGCCAGGCGATCGAGTCTGGGTTGGGATGACACAACCATCATTATATCCTTTGTAAGTCATGCCTGATACTGGTACTCACAAAGGGCCGACACTAACGAAATAGTTCTCGGCCTTGACGGTACAAACTGTCATGGTAGTGTCCTGCAGCTACGGATTTGGTCGTCATATTGAAACCTTGACTATAGATGACAAGTTGATGGCACTCAAGGTGAGTAGCATCTACTACATAACTTCAACAACAATTCACTTAATGATAGCTCTAACTCCTCTAGTTATTCTATGTCGCCCAGATATTCTACAAACTCACTGCGAATCTCGCCAAAATATCGATACTCCTGCTATATCTCCGCATATTTATCCAAAAATGGTTCCACAGGTGTTGCTATACCCTCATAGGTACCATTGCCTGTTATATGTCTATAGCCTCAGCCTTGTCAATCTGGCAGTGCCAGCCGCTCAGCGGTGCCTGGGACAAATCTATCCAGTCAACTTGCATTAGCCTCAACAAGAACTGGCACGCGAATGCTGGGTTTTCCATTGGCACCGATACCTTGATATTGATGTTACCAATACAGCCTATATGGATAAGCCAACTACCCGTCGCGCACAAACGTGCACTCATGATGGTTCTCACCATGGGCGGCGGTGTGTAAGTGAAATCCGGCCAGACAAGTACTAGGTGAACTCATTCTACTTAGTGTTATAGTGACATCCATCGTGCGCATGACAACCCTCGATCTGGCAACCAAAACTCTTGATACGACATGTACGTGTCTTGTGTGAAAATACAAAGTTGAACTCACTGACAGTGTTCTAGTCGAAATTAGCTCCACCATGTGGACTATAATCGAACAGAATTTAGCTATTATCTGCACATGTCTCCCTATGTGCCGTATCCCCATCGCTATCATCTTCCCATCATGCTTCCCTAATTCAAAGAAATCTTCACACAGTGTTTCTCAACGCATAGATGGAACTCGAGTTCAGACTGGAGCTTGGAATCCTTATGTTGGGCCTAGAAGTGCACAAGGTCTTACACGAAGTGTCGTCCTTCCAAACGATGAAGCAAGCGAGGAAGTCATATTGGGCTCTTTAGAAAGAACTGATACGCCGTCCACGTTGGCAAGTGCTGCTGGTGTGATAAGAAAGACTGTTGAGTATGGTGTCACATACGAGGTTAACCCAGAGGCCAACCCATAGGTAGTCTGGGGCAAGGGGTATGTGGCAAACTTTCAGGTCTATACACGTTGTTCTTCTCTTTCTTCTCGTCTTGTCAACCATCTAAAGTCATACTATGGGTGAAGCTTACTCGGGGAGAGCATAGAATGTTTGATCCATGTATTTTTTTTTTTTTTTTGTACAGATATGATATACACTGGAGGGAACAGCGGAGAAACTAACTCATGCCCTCCATGAACTCAACGCGATCGAGAATCATCTGACGGTAACCCATGTACTCCTTCAGACCCTCCCACTCAGGGCCCGACTCCTCTCCATGCCTCCAGGGCTCCTTGAACCCCCAGGCACAAGCAATCTTGTCCATAGCAGCTCGCTCCTCTTCCCTCAGCCACCTGAGACGCAGTGGTGTGCCAGGCGCCCAAGTCACACGCTTCATCTGATCCTTGTTACTTAATTTGGCAATCATACCCATTGATCCCACAACCAAGAAATATCCAGAGATACCAGCAACGCCGAGGCCTGTTGCTGTGGATATATCCATAGTGTTCTGCCAGTAGGCCGCATATGCTGAAGCAAGACCAAAGATACCAAAGGGAAGAGAGCCGAGGGCGAGAGCAGGGGTAGTGGAGTGCTTGATCAGCTTCTGACGTTTGAATGCTGGAAGACTGAAGGAGGCTTCAACAACGCCCAGTGCTGAATCTAGATTCTTGGCGTCAATAGCAGTCTGCAGAGCCATATCGGCGACGCCTTTCTCAATCGCTTTGACTGCGGCGTTGGGGTTTGAAGCCACGTATTGGACCACTCCATTCTTGACGACCGGCTTCTTCTTGGTCGCAAACATCTCGAACACGGCTGGAAGCGACTCAGGCCGGCCTAGCGAAGCCTGAATAGCAACGTAGAGTTCAAGGAAGGCGGGTGTTATCTCGACATTGGGCTGCGAAATGATTGCATAGGCCGAGTACGAGATCTTTTTGACGCTATCGGCAAGTTGGGGGTCCATAGAATTTGGTCTTTGGCCAGTTCGCTCTGCTCCCAACTCCATGAGCTTTGATGTGGACGTCCGCGACTGAGCCTCGGCCCTGTGGATTTGAGGTTGGAGGGCTTGAGCAGCCTTGAGGCACGTCTCAAGGGCCGCAGTCGTCAGTTGCTTCGCCGGAATTCCATCTGTGGCCAGGAACTTCTCCTTTGTGCTCTCTACGATATTTGCCAGTTGTGTCGGATCAGTCAATTGTCGAGGGACTTTATCGGCATCGGCCGGCTGGATATTGAGGTCTGGGTATGTTGATGCGGTCGCAGCCCATCGTGCACGCGGACCCTTTATCGTTGTCCTTTTCCTATGGCGAATGGCAGCTAGGAGTGTTCCGCTGATGAAGGCTTGGTTTGCGATTGTCGGTGTTGGTGTAAACGCGCATCGATGGCAGATATTGCCAATGTGCCGGGTACCGACTCGTGACATGGTTGTGTGTCCAAGAGATGATGGCCAGTTTTGGTTTCTAGGAGCCCCAGCCGTTTCTTTATCCCCGATTGCCCACGTCCTTCTTAAGTAAAAATCTTCCGGTCTTGTTTGTCGTTGATGCTATTTAGAACCCGACTTTGAATTTCGCAGCCATGATACGCGAGCGGGAAGCCCCCACCTGTTGGTGATTAGCGATTGTGATAGGCTGCCCACCTCCATGCAAATTCTAGTGGAAGCCAACTTTATAAGTCATATCGCCCGTTGAATACCTAAACAGGACCAGGTGCTGTGCTTGCAATACTGCTCATCTCTCTTACAGATAAGTACCTATAGTCATCCTGAATGCAGTGAAATGAATCGTTTTTTCTGGCTTATGTTGTCATGGTCGCATCAGTGAAGCTCTAAACAATCAAAGCCTGAGATATCTTCAGGAACTTTGGGTTAGAACAAAGCGGGGCAAAGCCCAGACCATCCATGCCCAGCGTGTCCACTGTAAGTAGCGGTGCTGCCTTCCATTCTTTCCATGCAGCGTACGCGTGCCATTGGCCATGACGAAACATGAGGTGGCTCTCGCCTTGGGGTATCCAAACTGATCCAGTACCTTGGGCTCAACCTTGACCTTTATATAACCGTTCCTTGGCTGGTCTTCACATTCACTGTTGCCTCCCCAGGCTGTGTCGTAGGACTTGTATATAAACTCAAGGTCGGGACCCCACTGTCCAAGTCCGAAGACCCCGACTATCTCTTATTCTTCCGCAAAACAACCTCAACCACCCCATCCCACGCAGTTCAGGACATAGAACGACTCCGTGATGCCTCCACCACCACCTCCTCCTCCGCCGCCGCCGCCTGGTGCCATGGGTGGTCCTCCTCCGCCGCCTCCACCTCCTCCAGGAGGTCTTCCTGCCCGTCCGCCTGCTGGGGCTGGCAACAGAGTATGTTCATTTACTGCATACCTTCGTCTGTCGCTGTAGTTAGCTTGACCAGAATCTGACAACTCTCCAGGGCGCACTTCTCTCAGATATCCACAAAGGCAAAGCCCTCAAGAAAGCTGTCACCAATGACCGTTCAGCACCTCAAGTTGGAAATACATCAAATTCGTCGGCACCTCTACCTGTTGGCGGCGCACCTCCTGTCCCCGGCTTGGGTGGTGCTCCTAAGCCCCCAGGAGGCCTAGCACCACCGGTCCCAGGAGGACGAGCGAGGAGTAATAGTGATCAAGGATCTCGCGATTCGACGGCAGGCATGGATGCCGCGCCGCAGCTGGGTGGTCTTTTCGCTGGTGGGATGCCCAAGTTGAAAAAGAGCAGGGGAGGCATTGACACAGGCGCAAATGCTGATTCTTCATATCGATCGGATCCTGAATCTACTACCTCAGCACCCAAACCTCCAGTCGGCTCCGCACCAAGGCCTCCGTCAGCAGTTGCGCCAGCAATCCCTGGGCGAGGGCCTCCAGTACCGCCTCTGGGAGGAGCAGCAAACTTGAGAAAGACGACACCAGTGGGATCCAAGCCTCCTCCTCCTCCTATAGGAAAGAAGCCACCTCCCCTGCCAACCTCAAGAAAGCCTTCGTCAATGTCTCTGCCACCATCCGCGCCCTCACCATCTTCAGCGCCTCCTGCTCCACCGCCTCCTCCGCCTCCTCCATCAAACAGTGCATCGGCTCCTGCCGCTCCTCCTCCTCCTCCGCCTTCTGCGGCACCTCCTCTACCGAGTCAGTCGCCGGCTTCACGATCTTCAATACCGCCTCCTCCGCCTCCTCCGCCTGCAGCATCACATTCGACACCATCACTTGCTGCAGTAGCTGCCATTCGCGCCGCTGGTCAAGCATCTCCAAGCGCGGCGCCTCCTCCTCCCCCACCTCCACCTTCTGGATCAGTACCAGCACCTCCGAGCGCACCTTCACCCCCGCCACCAACGACACGGTCTCGAGGCTCATCCCTTCGTCAGTCCATGTTGGATCCAAGTATGTTCACTTTGACAGCCAATGGAGCAAAATCCCCAAGCCCGAAGCACTCGCCAGCACAAACGCCCGGTGTTGGTGGTGGGGCCCGTATTGTGATCAACGACTCTAGGTGGCAGTTCAAGGATGAAGGTTTGTTCCCGAAACCCAGGGACTTTGTAGGTGGAACAAGAAAATATAGGGCAGGACGAGGCAGCAGTGTACCGCTGGATTTGAGTGCTCTGTGAGCATCATACACGTTAGTCCCCTAGAGCTGTGCTCTCTCAAAGAGTTTGATGATCAAACTATGCTATTCATAATGAGATGAGCATCATGCGATTGTTAAATAGATAGGATATTCGAGACAAATATGAATCGACATATCACACAGTATGAAGTAGTCAAGGGGATTTGGTGTTTATCGTGAGATAATGCTGGTCATGAGTTGAATCTATTGAATCATTTCTTAATGCCACGGTATGGTATAGTCGAGTTACATACTCTTAGGTGGTGTACATATATAGATAACCGTCTCAAATTTACATAGACTTGAGGTAGTTGGTTTCCTTGATCTTGGCCCTTCTCTCCTTTCGCATCGCCTTCTTAAGCTCCTCTCGCTTTTGTGCGGCCTCAATGTTATGCTCAACTCCTCGATTCTCTTCTCCGAGGATATTAATAGACTGGCGTTGAAGAGGAATCTTAGGAGCCAGAGCCTCGAGATTACCCTCAGCCAACAGCTTGGCCTCGAGGGTCTTTTGACGCTTGGCTGCCAGTTTTCTTTGCTTCTTCGACTTGGCTTTAGTGTCGTTAGTGATGTCTTGCCTTGCGGTACGATATCAGGTATAAAACATACAGAATTCGTCACCAGCATCGGCATCCGCCGAATCGGCACTCTTCTTCAAGACTTCCAAGCAAGACCACAACCATTCTGGGTATTCGTCATCATTCTTTGCGACAGGGTCTTGTCCACCCTTGGTATAGTTTAAGCCATTAAGAACAGTTCCCGGTGCACACGATGATCGTGCAGCAGGGACATCCTTCTGTGCCTCACCGGGCGCTGTAACGGGAGTCGAAAGTTGAGGTTCTGTGGAACGGAAATTCGTCGTTGTCGAAAACTGTCGAAGAATCGGCTGCGAGCGCCGCAAGGAGGTGGCGCGCAGACACCGAGCGCAGAACATCATGATTGCTGGTGGTGGGTTGGTGGGAGATGAAGTGTGACAAGGCTTGATGCTCTGGAGAATTTTTGGACGACCAATTGGTGGAGGGCCAATGAGAGGTGACGGAAGATGTAAAATGTCAGCCTTGCGCCCAATTGGAAGCCTCCAAAATGTTGAACTACAATTAATATGCATTGGCCCTCACAGGTGCAACTGTGTAGTTTCCTTATGAGTTCTTTTGATTCGTTTCTTCCTGATATATACAATTCATACAAGGTCAGATGATTGCTTCACCCTTTTTTTGGTGAGCCGAGACACTCAAATCATGATATCTAGACCATAATTCCCTCTCATCCAAACATCACATCCATGCAATTCCTTCTCAACTCAGATTCTGGTTTAAGTAAAGTCTTACGATGAGAATCGGCCGTGGTTGAGCTTGGCAATCTTGTCGCTAGTGTGAACTTTGGCAGCGAGATCAAGCTCTTGATCCTTCTGGTCGACATAGTTTTGTTGCAGGAACTTGGTGCCCTTGATCTTGTTCGTCTTCAACAATTGCAAATACCTCTCTAGTCTCCAAAGTCAGTAGACGCCCAAAGCGTACTCTCGGCAGCCCTCGGGGAAAGCTCCATATCAAAACAAACTGACCTCGGAGGTGGCCGCAGTTCTCCAAGTGGTTGACACCCTCTCGAACGTAGCACTTGTTGAGCTCCTCTCCGACAAGACGAGTCATCATGGCCCCAACCCATTGCTCTCGGATGAGGGAATCCTCGGCAGCCTTGAAGGCTTTAGTATCATCGTAATCGACGCCATTGAATGTAGGAGGAACGGTGGGCTTCTGAGCCTTAAATTGCTCGGACTCGGGAGTAGGCATGGTGAATCTAAGGCTGCCTTTTTGGCTTATGAGTAGATTATAGAATTGTAGCGAAGGACAGCGCGCAAGGCTGACAATGGGACTCAGTCGATATCGGCAACTTGGGATGTCCGAGTAGCTTGAAGCTCAACCTAGGTGAATTGAATGTCCAATAATAAGCGACCTGAATTCTCAGGCAAGGTCAGACCCACAAGTCCATCGACCACCTTCCCTGTCAGTTCAAAGGTCCTCACCGCCCTCATGAGCCCCACCATTTTGACGGCAGGAAAAAAAAAGTAAGAAAAAAAAAGTAGAGTCCAACCACCAGCTTAAAAGTCTGCTTTCTACATCCGCCCTCTTCCCATTTTTTCCCCTACTCATTCTCTCCCGTCTAGACACTCATCTTTCCCTACCACCTCTTACCCCCTTCTACCTTAATACATAATCACAATGGCTAAGACAAAGACAAAGGAGAGCAAGGCCAAGGTTACTGAGCCTCTCAGCACCGTCAAGGCTGGAGGCATCACCAAGCCTTCCAAGTCCTCCAAGTCCAAGTCCAAGGAGCTTGCTAAGGCTGCTGCCAAGAAGGTCACCAAGGAGAAGGACACCAAGAAGAGTAAGAAGAAGGCCGAGCCCGAGTCTTCTTCCGAGTCTGAGTCTGAGAGCGAGTCTGAGGCTTCCGACTCCGACTCTTCTTCCTCTGAGGAGGAGAAGAAGGTTACTAAGAAGACTGTCACCAAGGCCAAGGCCAAGGCCGCTGAGTCTTCATCTGAATCTGAGTCCGACTCTGGCTCAGACTCCGACTCCGACTCCGACAGCGAGTCTGAGGAGGAGAAGCCCAAGGCTAAGGCTACCAAGGTTAACGGTACTGCTAAGGCTGCCGCTCCCGCCAAGAAGGCTGAGTCTTCTGACTCTGAGTCTGGCTCCGGTTCCGACTCTGACTCGGACTCCGACGATGAGAGTGAAGAGGAGAAGCCCAAGGCCAAGGCTGCCGAGAAGGTTCGTACACCCAAACTCTATATACTGAAACTACTTCTTACTAACTCCATACATAGAAGGCCGATTCTTCTGACGACTCCGACTCCGACGATTCTGAGGATGACTCCGATGACAGTGACAGCAGCGACTCTGATGAGGAGGCCGGCGCCAAAATTGAGAAGACCGAGGAGGCTCCTTCAAAGAAGCGCAAGGCTGAGGATGATGGCGATGCGGATGCCAAGAAGACAAAGACTGATGAGGCCACTACCCTCTTCGCCGGCAGCCTAAGCTGGTCCATCGACGACAATGCCCTCTACGAGGCTTTCAAGCACATCGAGGGTCTTGCCAACGCCCGCGTCATGACTGAGAAGGGCACTGGTCGCAGCCGTGGCTTCGGTTATGTCGACTTCAATGATGCTGCCTCTTGCACCAAGGCCTACGAGACCATGCAGGGTGTTGAACTTGAGGGCCGTGCCATCAACCTCGACTATGCCAACGCTCGTCCCGCTGATGCCAACCCTCAGTCTCGCGCTGCCGACCGTGCCCAGCGTCATGGTGACACTGTCAGCCCTGAGAGTGATACCCTCTTCGTCGGTAACCTTCCTTTCGATGTCGACCAGGACACTGTCCGTGAGTTCTTCAGCGATGTCGCCGAAGTTGCCAGCGTTCGCCTCCCTACCGACCCGTAAGTAGCAATATTGACTCTGCCTCTGCGTTCCTGTTACTAACTCTGAACAGTGATAGCGGTAACCTCAAGGGCTTCGGTTACGTCAGCTTCAACTCGGTCGAGGATGCCAAGCAGGTCTTTGAGGCCAAGAATGGTGCCCCTATTGGCAACGGACGTATGTCCCGTAGCGTCCGCCTGGACTATGCTAGCAGCAGACCTCAACAGGGCGGCGGCGGCTTTGGTGGTGGTCGTGGAGGTGGTCGCGGTGGCGGCCGTGGTGGCTTCGGAGGCCGTGGAGGTGGTCGCGGTGGCGGTGGTGGTCGCGGCCGTGGTGGTGGTCGTGGTGGTAGCTTCGGTACTGGTGCTAACCGCACTCCTACCACTTTCTCTGGCTCCAAGATTTCTTTCGATTAAGCGTGGATTGATGCACAACGGTTGCGAACTGAGGGCTTCTGGCGGGTTTACCAATAAGTGGGCTTTTGTGGGCTGTCGATTCAACACAAGACAAAACTCCATTATGGAGTAGTGGGCTTTGAGAATACGCATCACACGCGTAAAGCAGTTATAGACCTGGGGGCTATTACACTTGAGGGACCGTGGGCTCGTGGCATCTTCATAAAGCACCTTCCTGGTGCCTTTGGCTTCTTGATCAAGCCTGTCTTCAAGGCAGACACCACGTGGGCTTCTGAGGGATTTGTTAAACCACTGTTTGGGAAGAGGCTCCCTCTGTCTTCCAGACATTGTGGAGTGGACCAAGTCGGTTCTCGCGAACGCTCTTGAGGGTCCCTGGGGGCTTTTCGAAAAGATACGACCATGCCTATGCCTAACCTCAGCACCAGTTGACGACGATCTCCTGCCTTGACGACTAAACCATCTTGATTTCTTATACCACGTACACTGTTTCATCGTTTGATGTTGGTGAGTATACCACTGCCGTTATTCTTTCGATTTATGTAGCAACGAGATAGTCCACATCTCGATTATAGGGGCGCAATAAAAGTTGAATTATGTTTCTCTCAATGACGTCCCAGGGGTCCTTCCATGAGTGACTGTATTTGCAGTATAAGGTATAGTAGCTTGGGTACCTTAGTGAGTAATTTGCAGCGGTATGATATTGTCTTGGAGATCATATGTTCTTTACATATGACACTCTGGACAAAACGCTCAGTTAGGGGTATGAGTCCATCTTGGGGTCGAGTATAGCACAGGGGTAGAAATCTCATTCATAACATACTGCCCACGGTACTGTTGCAGCATTTCAGGATGCAGCTGTAGCCTATCAAAACGTGCAGGCCAAAAATTGATATGTGCAGCATGTGATGGCTGTGTCACATAAGCCGCGAATCAGATGGACGGTGGGGACGGAGTGACCAGTCTCGAGATATACTACTTACGCGTGAGCATGCCAACATGGTGCTTGAACACTGACAATCGAGGCGCATTTGGTGGGAAAGATGGAAAGAACATGATGAAGGTCAGTCTTGAAAGTCAGCTGCTAGGTATGGTGAGGTGAGGTGTCAAGCTACCTAGTACAGTACCTACCTACCTACCTCTAGTAGGTAGTCGATATACAGGTAACTAAGGTACTAACCATTCCCGGTTGGTACACGATACGTTTAATCCAAGGCTCCAGTTCTGATATTATTCAAAAGCTACAGATAACGCAAACCCATAAAGTATTGTAATAATTAACAAGGTCAGGTTTTGCTTGACCCGGCTGCCGTGTTGTACTGAGGCGGTGGCTGGATGATCGTTGCGCCATCACTTTGAAGGTCGACAGGGAATAAATGGTCCGGGGTATTGTTCCATGATTCTTTGTTTCACGCATAATGCAGATCCATAAAAGTCGACAGGTCTATGAGCCCAGAGCTTAGTAGAGGGTCTTCAACTATCCACGTCGGCAATGGATATCATAAGAGGCATCGAAAGACTTTCTTTCATGTTGAAACATGGTCAAGCTGAACGAAGTAAATACTACGAGGTACATTTAAGAACATAGGCCGGAGGATACCTAACGTCTATCAGCAGCCCCAGCCAGCCCCCTTTCCTCTTCCATCTGCCTGCAATTCTCTTTACGGTGCTGGAATTTCTTTTGGGAGGTCGGCTGTAAGCTTATTTGGGTGATCTAAACCCCGCCTTGTACTCATGACCGTAAAGTTAGTAGTGTTCCGTGCTGCGTGCTCAGATGTAGGCAACGCGGGGGCTAATGTACCGATACTTGTAGAAAGGAGCTTCACCGCTCTCACGACCACAGATATACAGTGTGCAACAAGCAGAGCGTCATCGTTACAGCATTATTACTCCGTACTGTTACACCAGATGGAGACTGTTTCATACCTAGCTATCTACTAGTATGCGCCCCGAGCCCGCACTGTCTCCCCACCCACATCACAAGTACCGTTACTTTTTAGGTAGTCGTTATCACTGGGCAGCGAGACGTGCTCTCGTGCCTGTGACAAAGAAACAATCGTAGGCACTTGACTGCACTTTACCAACGGTTTCCCCCAGCCCCGACTTCGCTGGCCAAGAGCTCGCTACTTACCTACTTTCTATCTTTTTTATACCCTCACTTTGTATTTCATCTGTCTTTCTTGTGCTTCGCCACCTTTTAACCTTTCGGCCGCCTCCTGAATAACATCACCCCATAGCCAAGAGATAAGCGAAGTTGCGCTGCTTGATCTAGGTAGCATATCGAGTCCCGTGCCTTCTTGTGCTCCGCCTCGGAACTTGAATACCGTACGTCCCAACAACTCAACTTTCAGCAAACTTCGATCTTATCAGCGCAAAGAGGAGGAACAATGGACGGAGAAGGAAACCAAAGTTGGCAAGGAAATAAGATGTCTCCGAATGGAGCGAGATCGAGTCCTGGGCTTCCCTCACAGAGACGTCACGATGGTAAGTCTCACCCCGTGGGTCAAACTGTCAAAACTTGTATGCTAACTTTTCTAGAATCTTGGGTAGAAGTAGCATCGCAACCCTCATCTTCTTCCCTGTCCAGCATCGGTGATGAGATTGTTACTACCGGCCTGCGCGTCGGGAACCCATATGTGCGCCGACGACGATTACAGCAATCAGCACGATCGCTCCCTCAACAGCAGACTGCTATTCATAATGTGAACGCGGCCGATTTGAGTAGCCAGGAGGAATATGACGAGAGCGATAGTGAAGATGATCACCTGCTTACCAGCTCGACCGAGAACGCTCAGCGGTCCGAGGAGGAGGCGGATGTGGATTCAGAGGCCGAGTCGGATGGTGATAACGTCACCGCGCTCGGACATGTGTCCGATCAACCTACAGAGCCTATCTTCCGACCTCAGCCAAACGCCTTCACTCATCCATCAACGCAACGAAGAGACTCGGCTCCAGCCATCCCAAG